GGCCTCGCACTGACGTTCCAGCTCGTCCTTCTGGAGCTGGGGGTAGCGGTACGGTCGGACGGCCACCGGCGCCGTGTCGGGTAGCAGGTGAATGCGGTGGTCATACGGCCGTGCCGGTGGAAGACCGCGTGGCTCATCGAAGATGACGCTGTGCTGCTGTAGGAGGCGGTCCAACAGCGGCTGTTAATTGTCATTGGAGACAGCCGCTGCCTGGACAGTCCCATCAGTCCCGCCCATGCCCGTCCATAGGATACGGCGGTCGTGGCGGGAGAACGACATCGTCTTGGCCGCCAAGTCCCACAAGATCGGACCGAGCGTCTTCAGGTAGTCGTAGCCGAGGATGAGGTTGAAACCGCCAAGGTCGAGGCCCACGCAGGTGATGAGGAAGTCCTCACCCTCAATGCGAATGGGGACCGCGTGGGCGATCCCTTCGCATCGTAGGCGGTCACCGTTGGCCACCGTAACCCGCAACTGGTCGCCCCCCATAGGAGAGAGACCCAAGCGGTGCATAGCATCGCCCCGGAGGAAGTTATGGGTAGAGCCAGTGTCGAGAAGGGCCACCAGACGCTCCCCGTTCACCTCCACCGGCAGTAACATCGTGTTCTCTGTCGTGATACCTACCAAGGCATGCAAGGAGACAACGAAGGCGTTAGCATCTGGCTGCTCCTGGGCGGTCGGCTCCTCCGCCTGTACCGCAGCAACCGCGGCACCGTCCTCGACCGACGCCGCCTCATCCATGATGCAGTCGGCGGCGGCGATGTAGAGGAGTCGGTGGCAGACGTGACCAGGGGCGTAGGTCTCATCACAATTGAAGCAGAGCCCCTAGCGTCGGCGCTCCGCCTGCTCTGCTGGTGTTAGGCGGCGAAACATGCGACCCTCAGGCGGCGCGTTGGCCGCAGCGGCCCCTTGGCCTCCTGGCGTTGGAAGAGCTGCGGCGGCGTGGCCAGGTGGTACTGGTCGCGGGGGCGGCCGTGCACCGCGCGTAGGGGGCAGCGCTTGCATGGCTGCTGCCCGTCGCTCGAATGCCCGCGCATAGTGCATGGCCGTTTGGAGGTCTTGGGGCTCTTGCATCTCCACGTCGGCCCGGATATGCTCCGGAAGGCCGCCCACGAAGAGCTCGGCACGCTGTAATGTAGAAATTCCCGGGGCGTGGCATGCCAAGGCCTGGAAGCGCGCGGTGAAATCCTGCACCGTCGTGGTGAAGGGCAGCCGGCCTAGCTCAGCCAAGCGGCTACCCCGTAGTGGTGGTCCGAAGCGCAGGCGACAGAGGTCCCGAAAATGCTCCCACGGCGGCATCCCTTCATCTTGCTCCAGGGCGTGGTACCAGGTCTGCGCCTCGCCCTTCAGGTGATAGGAGGCGAGCAAGGTACGGTCAGATGCTAGCGTACGCTGGCCCCTGAAGAATTGCTCACACTGGTTGAGCCAATTCAGGGGATCCACGGAACCGTCGTACGTGTGGAATTCCAGCTTATAGAACCTGGGCGGCGCTGGCGGAGGTCCGTCATCAGAGGATCCCCCTGCAGGAGCTGCTGGCACCGTGGCCGACATCGCCGACGACTGCAGGGTACCCCCATGGAATAGAGTGCCGTCGGCGCCCCCGTACAGGACGCCGGACGCCGGAACGCCCCCATGCGTGACGCCCAAGCCCGTGGAGAGCAGGGGTGGCACGGAGGGCTGGGAACGCGCTGTAGTGTAGACGGGTGACACCGACGCCTCTGACAGGCCCGTGATCCAACTCGGTAGCTGCGACGGCGACTGGGGAAACGCGATCTGTGTGATCGGTACTCCAGTGGACGGGGGCGGATGCACGGCCTGGTGTGTCGAGGAAGCCAACCCGTCGTAGGGCATGTCGTACTGGTAGGAGACGGCAGCTGTAGCGGCCGCCGGCAGCGGTGGTGGAGACGGCGCCGGCAGGGCCTGCTGGTACGTTGGCTGCGGCGCCGGCAGGACCGGCTGTGCCTGCTGGTACGGCTGGTAGTAGTAGGGCTGAGGCTGCGGCTGGGTCGCGTATGGCCCCACGAGGAACGAGCGGATGCCCACAATGGCCTAGCCGATCTCGAGAACGGCCGCCGTCAGTTCAGCCGGCGTCATGACGGGGCCCTGCGGTGTCGCAGATGGGGCGACCGCCCCCGAGGTGGCCACGATCGCGGACGTCGTCGAAGGCAGCAGCTGTGTGGTGGAGGGAAGGGGCTACGTCGCGGGAAGTGGCGGCTGCGGGGGTGCCCCCGTGCCTGTGGATGGGGGTAGCGGCGGTGGCATGGTGGAGGCTGGTGGGGGTCCCAACATCGCACCTGTGATCGCTGATACCAAATTGATAGGATTGCGGATCCTACCAGCTATGGTTCGGAGGTTGTAGGGATGGTGGATCGGAGGATGGAAACGGGAACGGCGCTGGGGCGCCGTGTTCTCGATCTAGGGGAAGGAGGAGGAGGCTAGGGCTGTTATGAAGTCTCCCGGCTCCCTAAGGGAAGCCGAGAAAATTGATTGCTCTTGCTTAATTGTTTCAATTCCTTACAATAGCTATATATAGCAAATAATGAAAATACTAATGGGCCTTGCGCCTAACTAGCCACTAATGGGCTTCTGCCTTCGTGCATATGACCGACCGGTCATAACACAAACATTATATTATAACTGAAGAGATTGCTTCCATTATTTCAAAAACTACTACTAGGAAAGAAAAAAAAATTATAACCCAGAGTGAGAATGCAACAATGCATAGACAGAGTGAGAACCAATGGTTCAAATAGAAGCACTAAAGTAATGAAACTGGACTCAGAACATAGAGTAATTAACATACATTACTGTGGTTTGATCTAGTAGACCCATCTACCACGAAAAGCTTTTTTCAAAGGGAATTTGAGGGAAGCTGACTCCTTCAGGAAGCTGTTGACATCAGTGCACCACAAAATTAAATCTTAACTCATGCTAATTTAGTGGAAAACGAGAAATTAAATGACAGATGAAGCACATTGGAGCTATCAACTGAACCAAGATACTCACAGGAGTGAACTTGTTGAACAGAGGACCTATCACAATGGGGTATATTGTCATCATCAGGAGAGCTAATACAAACATGAAACCCCAGAAGTATATAGCCAGGTAAGGTCCTCCAATTTGAAAGAATACAGGAAAAAAATTGAAAGAATCAGTTGATGCACTTGGATGACACTACCATAAGCTACATGTGATTTTGATTCTGTGAACCTTGGAAAAACTAACTAACAAAACAGGTCAAAGGAAAAAAAAAGTGTTGTACACATAATTGTTAATTAATTAATTTGGAAATGAACTAGTGCAAGGCTGTCAACTTGAGACTACAGAAAATTGAATTTGGAAATGCTATTCAGATATGGCAGAGCAAAACAAGTTACGGAAGCGTGGTAATAGATAGTTCCCTTCAACTATAACTATTTTGTACCTGCCAAAGTCATGGTAATTAGCAATCAGCAAGCATCACATCCATACCCATACTTCAACTGAAGCATTTAAGGATAAAGACAGTATTAATGCAGTCTTACACATGGAAAAAGATAACACTAATCGATTCCTCAATTAACTGAATCATTTAACTGAAGCACCTTTCTTAAAAAAATGTTCCAGAAATGTCTAAATTTTTTTTAACATCCATTCCCAAGCTATAGGTAACTGAACAATCGCTATAAATTCTCTTGGAAGCAAATTAGTAGTCTAGTGCAAGACATTCAATTGCTAATTAGCAATTGCGTATACATGAAGTAATATAAAAAGCCATTACAGATTTCTCCAACATACTGCTAGTAAAATAAGCATGATCTGTTTTCAACTGTGTACTTCCAGTGGAAGATCTATCAAAATAAAGCAGCAAGACATGAACTAAATAAGCTAAGAAAACTTACCCATATGAAACATATGGCTCGACCCTGCGAAGCATGTTAATAGTAGCCTTGTTGACCTTAAGCAACACGCCATTGAAGATCTGCAACTTTTCCTCAAAACTGACATAAAAACCACCCTTCAAACGGGCCTCTCACTTAAGCTGCAAGAGCTCCTTCTCCTGAACCCAACATCCACATAGGCAAATGCAGAAACAAAACTCAGTTGTCTTTTCTTTATAATTAAGAGGGCTTCACAAACTGATTTACCATAGTCGACTGTTATTTGACAAGGAATAGTCCAGCATACAAGGAAAGGAAGGTAGTATTTTAAAATTGGTATGTTGGATCAATGATGAATAAGGAAGTATTCAATAGGATCTTGCCATATGCGAGATTAAATTCACTACTACTGGACTACCTTGGGTGTAGTCACAGACTCTCAGTCTCACCCAAGTCAAGCTTGCTGGTGCTGATAATTTTGATAATACCACCCTCTAGTCCTCTAATATCATTTATCATGTTCTAATTTACCAATAATTATCCATAATACCATAGCAGGGGACATGTCTCAGCCACTATTACAATGACTTATTGATAGTGCCTCCAGTTTGAAACATCAAAATTCATTCATTCAGTCGATGTGCGGCAACTTGAAGGTAAATGCTATCGGACAGGGACTTGTCATCAGAAAAATTTAATTGAGATTAAATTCACTATCAATAAGCTAATTTCCGACTGACTTGTCATCAGAAAAAGTCAAGAGAAAATTTTAGACTAATCAATCATGCGACAACAACAATTAGGCGAAGTTCCCATGGCCGCCTCACCGCGCAAATTCCATCAAAGGCGTGATGCAATTGATCACTTGGCCGGTATAGAGTAAAAATAGGCTGCCGGTCGCGGCGCAGATCCGACGGCTAGAAATTGGATGGAATTTAGGTGGCGGGTCCCGGGCACCTCGCCGTGGGGACTCCCGAGTCCCAGTGGTCCGCCACGCGGATATCCACAGACTTGGCGGGCCGGCAACATCCTATATAGCTGGCACGCCCCCTCCCGTCCCTCATCTGCTGCCCTCTGCTGAGCAGCAGCAGCAGAGCAGCAAGGTAACCAAGACCGTACCCGGCCAGGTGGAGAGGGAGAGAGATGGACCCGACGATGGGTGATTGTGATAGCTTGGAGTGCTTCTGGGATTGCCTCGACTCCGAGGGGATGCAGAGGTAATGCACGCGCCTGCGGTCTGTCCGGCCGGCCATTTCATCCATCCTGTGTTGTGTACTCTGTATAATTGGATCGTCAACCTGTGTGCGTGCAGCTTGTACATCGGGGCGGACGGCGACACCGCGGTGTCCGGCGGCGGCCAGCTCCACGATGGCTACTCCAGCGCCCCGGACGCCGGCTCCAACTTCTCCGCGGCGACGACAGCGGGGGTTGGGGCGGAGAGGGAGGGCAGGCCTTGCAACATGGTCACTGTCATGGAGAGGCGCCGACGCCGGAGGCTCAACGACAGGCTCTACGCCCTCCGCAGCGTCGTCCCAAACATCACCAAGGTATAGGATGCATGGTCACTGAGTCATCCCATGCATGATGCATGCATACGCCCTTGATTGCTTGTTCATGCTTGTCCGTGGAATGAATGGGATGAATTGCAGATGGACAAGGCCTCCATCATCAAGGACGCCATCGAGTACGTCCTGCAGCTGCAGCAGCTGGAGCGCCAGCTGCTCGCCGAGATAGCCCTCCTCGACACCGCCGCGAACGCGCACCATCTGGTAGTCGGCGGCACGCCATCCACGCAAGACGGCTGCGCCGTGTCGCCGACCAAGAAGATGAAACGGAACCCGTCCTTCTCGTCCCACAGCCGCTCCTCCTCGCCGCCGGTCGACGCTCTCGAGGTAGGGTGTAAGCAAACAGGCTAGCTAATTAATTGCGTGCCCCGACGAGCTGGCGGAATGAGCAGTAATGGTGACAAGCGACCGTCCGGCTCCGGGAGCTGACGCCGACGCTACCCAATCTATGTCTACGTACTCCTGTCTTGGATGCTTTTCCTGTTACAGCGCCGCGCCGACGGCCGGCGGTTAGCTTGTCTGGATCTGGACTGACCGAAATCGATCGACCCCCGTCGGTTTCCTGAAACGACAGGTGAGGGTGTCGGGCGCCGGGGATAAGGTGCTGGTGGTGAGCGTCGCCTGCACCCACCGGAGGGACGCCGTCGCCAAGGTCTGCCGTGCGCTCGACGGCCTCCGCCTCCGCGTCGTCGCCGCCAACATCACCGCCGCGTCGGGGACCGTGATGCACACGGCACTCGTCCAGGTACCGCTTTTTTTTTGCGCCCCTTGGTTCCTGACGTCACACGGGTGACGTAGGGGGTAGGACGTAAGGATAGACTCGAGGGTTGCTTTCATTACCTTCTTTTTCCTTAAAATAAGTCAAAAAAGAAAATTCCTTCTCCATCATACCAGTAGTATTTGTTAATCAAATCAAACAAAGAGTCAAAGTGTTAGATTCTTTGAAATTCACTGCCAGCCAGTAGGAACGCTCTTTTCATAGTATTCAACTTACGGCGCCATGGTTTTACACTGCCACCGCACCATTTCGTAGATTCTTTGAAATTTCTTGCCATGACTCTTTGAAGCAGTAAACCCTCATGAAACACAATCATCTCTCTACATATAAATGCACCGCCTCTCATTCGTACGTCTCCTTTCTGCGAACATAGAGCATCTCAACTTCCTCTATTTCTATAAAATTGTCATATTGATAATAATTATGTTTTCTTTCGTGCTCCTGCATACGCATTTTATTATATTCTTTGTATTCTTATTACTGTATGCATGCAAGTAGTCGGCTCATGTAACACTTGTGCTAACCCAAAGTAGTTATTCATCCAGAAAGAAGAAATGCATCAGACAGAGATGAAGGAAATGATCGAGATAGCAATATCCCAACTTGATGATATCGTTGGAAGTCCACTAAGTAGTACGAGTTACTGAGAGAATTGTGGAATACTATGCATGCATTCCCGGTCTTTCAATTAGTTATAAATAATCATGTTCTCATGTAACAAGAACTCTGGCAACCGTGATATCACTTTCGAAATTTTGGTTCATGCTGACAAGCAATCTAAGCTTTCTTTCCATCCTACATACGAGCATTAATTTGGTCTCCATGGCATGAATGTTGAATTAAGTTCCCAATAGTTTTTTTTTTTTTGCATGCAAAAGAATGCATCTTATTGAAATATTGAGAAGGATCGACCATACGTATGCCATATCCAGTTTGTAATTTTATATGTGTCCTTTAATTATTATCAAGTGATTATTTCTTGAATCAAGTATGGAATATGGATGACTGTTTGTTTGGATGGCCCGTGAGTTTGGGATATGCATTCGGGTGATCTTTGAAATTTTTGGGTTGTTAACTGTTAGAGTATCTCCAAAAGCTCCTTTCAATATTATAAATATTTTTTAGATATCTATCTTTTTTTTTCCTAGATAGAGGCGGCTCCATAAAAAAATATCTCTAAATATGTCTTTCGAGAGCCCTAACAAACGAACCGTTTATAAAAAATTGGATTTTTAGAGGTGGGTTGTCAGGATAAGCAAGAAGGCGGCAAGGAAGGGCGGAGTCATTGTTGGGCGTCCGACAACTGGCGTTACGGCTGGGAAGTCTGATGAAAGCGTGGGGTGATTCGATCCTGCTGAGCGCTGTGATTCTGTTAGCGCCGTTACTACTTGTGAGTCGGTTACTTGGCTTGGCGTCTTGACGGCGTGGCCGTGCGGGCATATATAATGCCTTGTAATGGATGGAGTCGGTATCGAACAACTGAAACAGAACTTCTCTGAATAGAATCCTTCCTCCTGACATTTCTGTTCTTGCTGTTCTATCCCTGCTTCCCTGCTCTCCCAAATCCCTAACTCCGATTCTAGTTATCCTGTCCGAATTCGCGAGCGGATTCATGACAATTGGTATCAAAGCCGTTGATCCGTCGGTGTGTCACCTTGATCACATTCGTAATCCCCGTCGGCAGGATTCATCGTCTCCACTTCGGTGTTGATTCGGTGTCTCCATAGGTCCGAGCCGAGGTTGACGGGTCGGTGAGCAATTCGGGATCACTGCGGAAATCGGTTGATTACTCGCAAGCCTGGCGCCGAAGAGAGGACCATCCAAGTTCTAGAAGGATATGGCGAAGTCGGTGGAGGAGATTTCGACTCAGCTCGGGTTGATGATGAAGCAGTTCGCGGGTTTCCAGACGATGATGCAGAGTACCATGGACTCGGTGGATGCCATTGGGACATGGCAGGCGACCGCGGACACGGCGTTCGACGAATTGCGCGAGCGAGCGCAGGGTAGGTCTACCTCGCTGGAAGCGGTGACCAGGCGGGTAGAGCTCGCGGCGACGCGGGTGGACTCGATTGAGGCGCGGCTTATGACAGCTCCTGCACCGCCACCGATTCGGCCAGCACCGGCGTTGAGGAACATGGACCTCAACGCGGCTCCCGGATCGTCCTCGTGCTCACCTGCGAGGGACGGGGAGCGGGCCAAGGGCCACGGCGAGGACTGCGGCGGGATCCTTGGACCCTGGCCGCAGGACTTCAGGAAGGGTACGCATCCTACTCCAACCCCCGTTGAACCCCCTTTCCTGGATGATTCTGTTCATACAAATTTTCGTTCGCCTCCTTTCCCCAAATTGGAGTTTCCGAAGTTTGACGGTGAATTTCCTCGTTTATGGTGGGATGAATACGAGATGTTCTTTGAAGTATATGCTGCGCAACCCTCGTTGAAGACCCGGTTTGCCGCTCTGAACTTCAAGGGAGTCGCCAAGACGTGGTTGCAGACGATTCAGAGGAAGGGGCGGATTGAGGATTGGGAGCAGTTGTGTGAATTAGTGATGAACCGTTTTGATAAGAATCAATATCAGTTGTTGCTCAAGCGGTTTAATGCTCTCAGACAGACTGGGTCAGTAGATGATTATCAGGAAGAGTTTGAGAAGCTGGCTCATGGGATCCTGTTGTACAACAACAGTTATGATGATACTTATTTTGTCACAAGATTTGTTGCTGGCCTTAAGGAGGAAATCCGAGCTGTCATCACCCTGCACAGGCCCAAAGATGTGGACACTGCTAGTGCTCTGGCCCTTTTGCAGGAGGAAGAGTTAGCTCGAGGGAAATCAAAGTTCAGTAGCTATCCCAAGAGTAACTTTAGGCAGTCATATGATAAATCCAAGACTCTGGATATTGACAGAGGCAAAGCTGAGAACTCTGTCAAGGAGGGTGAGGATAAGTTGTCTTCCCTGAGAGAGTTGAGAAAGAAAAATGGGTCATGCTTCAAGTGTGGGGCAAAGTGGAGCAACAACCATAAATGTCCTGCTCAGGTTCCCTTGCATGTTCTAGAAGAAATCTTGGATGCTCTTGAGCCTATAGATGACCCTGAGGAAGAGGTGTCTGTGGAAGTGGAAGATGAGGTCATTGCAACTGTATCTCAGGCAACTTCTCAGGACAATATTAGAAGGAGAACTATGAGATTGTGTGGTAGCATTGGCAAATTGACTGTGCTCATTCTAGTTGACTCAGACAGTGTGGGGTCTTTTATTAGTGACAGACTGGCTGCTCATCTGCAAATGGCTATAGTCTCTTGTACTCCAGTTCAGCTGATGGCAGCTGATAGAAGCCCAATGGTGTGTGACCAGAAGATTCCAAGTTTGCAGTGGACTGCTCAGGGGCATACTTTTTTCTCCTCAGTTGGCATCCTACCTGTCAAGTGTTTTGATATGATTGTTGGGGTTGATTGGCTTGAGGAGCATAGCCCAATGTGGGTTCATTGGGGTAGAAAGCTTATGAGGTTTACTGTAAATGGCAAGAGAGTGCCATTGCAAGGCTTAACTTCTGATCTTGAGCAGTGCCAAGCTGTTTCCAGTAAAGCCTTGCAAGGTCTTCTTAATAGACAAGCTGTTTCTCATTGTATTCAGTTAAGATTGGATGATCAACAGTACATGCAGCTTCAGGAGATGGTGGACATTGCTGTAATTTCTGATCAGCAGCTACATTCTGAAGTTTAGTTGTTGGGGCAGTTTGAAGATATTTTTCAGGCACCCACTACTTTGCCTCCACCTAGGCCATTTGATCACACAATACCTCTCTTGCCTGGAGCTCAGCCTGTCAACATCAGAGCCTACAGGTACTCTCCAGCCCAGAAGGATGAGATTGAGAAGCAGTTGGCAGAGATGCTACAAAATGGAATCATTAAACCCAGTGGAAGCCCTTATGCTTCCCCAGTGCTCTTAGTAAGGAAGAAAGATGGGTCATGGAGGTTTTGACTACAGACATTTAAATGCTCAGACTGTCAAGAACAAACATCCTATGCCTATTGTAGAGGACTTGATTGATGAGTTAGCAGGTGCACAGTGATTTTCCAAATTAGATTTCAGGGCTGGTTATCATCAGTTGTGCATTAACCCTGCTGATACACATAAGACTGCTTTCAAGACTCATAGTGGCTTATATGAGTTCTTAGTGATGGCTTTTGGACTCACAAATGCTCCTGCAACTTTCCAAGGAGTAATGAATCACATATTTGCTCATTTGTTAAGGAAGGGAGTCCTAGTCTTTATGGATGACATCTTGATTTACTCAGCTACCTTAGATGAGCATTTAGAGTTACTGAAGAAGGTGTTTCTAGTTATCAGGGAACACCAGTTCTACCTAAAGAGGTCTAAATGTTTCTTTGCTCAAAGAGAGGTTGAGTATTTGGGCCACTGCATTTCTGGAAAAGATGTTACCACTGAGGCATCCAAGATTGCTGCTGTTCAACAGTGGCCAAGGCCTAAGAACCTGAAAGAGTTGAGAGGTTTCCTAGGTCTTACTGGATACTATAGGAAATTCATCAAGCATTATGGCCTTATCAGTAGACCACTATCTGATTTGCTCAAGAAACCAGCCCATTTGTTTGGACTTCTGTTACTGAGGAAGCTTTTACTCAGCTCAAGTCTGCCCTGGTTCAGGCCCCAGTGCTAGCAATACCAAATTTTCAGAAACAATTTGTGTTGGAGACTGATGCTAGTGATATTAGATTTGGTGCTGTGTTGATGTAGGAGGGGCATCCAATAGCATATCTGAGCAAACCTGTGTGTGCTAAAAACCAAGCTTTATCTACCTATGCGAAATAGTGCATGGCTATAATCATGGCAGTAGATAAGTGGAGAGCCTATTTGCAACATCAAGAGTTTGTTATTAGAACTGATCATAGAAGTTTGCTCCATCTGACTGAACAAAGAATCACAACCAAACTGCAACAAAAAGCACTATTGAAGTTAATGGATCTGCAATTCAAGATTCAGTTCAAGCAAGGTATCACTAATCAGGCTGCTGACTCTCTCTCTAGGTGTGCTGCTCTTGAGTCTGTTATGGCAGTGGCTGTCTCCAACCCTGACTGATTGAGTAAAGTCAAGGAAGGGTATCTGGAGGATCCTGAAGCTACTAAGTTACTTCAAGAGCTCAGTACAGATTCTGCTGTGGACAGCTCATTTTCTGTACAAGATGGTATTCTTAGGCACAAGGGCAGAGTGTGGTTGGGCAATAATTCCTTGGCTCAGCAACATGTGATCCAAGCTATGCATACTAGTGGTGTGGGTGGCTACTCAGGATTTCAAGCCTCTTATTACAGAATTAGGCATCTCTTTTCTTGGCCTAATATGAAAAACTCAATCAAAGACTTCATCAAATCTTGCTCTGTGTGCCAGCAAGCAAAGGTAGAACACTCTAAACCAGCTGGGCTATTACAGCCTTTACCTATAACTCTGCAGGCCTGGAAGGTGATATCTATGGATTTTTTTGAAGGGTTGCCTAAGTCAAACAAATTTCATACAATTTTGGTTGTCATTGACAAATTCACTAAGTATGGGCACTTTATTCCTTTGGCCCATCCCTTCAATGCTATGCAAGTGGCTCAGGTTTTTGTGGATGTGTACAAGCTTCATGGGCTACCTGAAAGCATCATTTCTGATAGAGACAAGATATTCACTAGTGCTTTCTGGAGAGATTTATTCAAACTTACTGATACTTAGCTGTTGATGAGTTCTTCTTATCATCTTCAAACCGATGGGCAAACTGAGAGATTGAATCAGTGCTTGGAGGGATTTCTTAGATGTAGTGTTCATTCTTGTCCTAAGCAGTGGGCTAAGTGGCTACCATTGGCTGAGTTTTGGTACAACACTACATACCATTCAGCATTGGGCAAATCTCCTTTTGAGGTTGTAAGAAAAATGGACCCTAGGCCCATCTACTTTAGATTTTGGTGTTTGATGACCAACACAACCAAATTGGACTAATGAATTTGCAAGTAATTGTTTTGTAGTTCAATAGGGTGCAAGACGTGACTTGGACGAAGGCGACATGATGATTCCACGATCAACACCATAAGCAAGACCCTAGAAACACAAGAGAAGACCCAAGATATCAAGCAAAGTCCAAGCACAAAGATGGGAACCAAGCCGGACGCAAGATCGCGAAGAAATGAGCTCGGCAGAGGTGATCGGACGCGGCCCTAACAAGGACCGGACGCGTCCGATCAATTGCTCGGCGACACCAGGCGACGGCAGTTTGTGACTGGACACTGAGCGAAGCAGTGACCGGACACACCGGTGGCACTGTTCATCGTCATGGCAATGTTTTCAGCGTGACCGGACGCAGCGGCACTGGACGACCGGACGCACGAAGTACAACATCCGATCGTTTCCAGAGAGGTTCCAGAGCGGCGCCAAGCGCGACCGGACGCGTCCGATCGATGATGACCGGACTCAGCCCAGCGTTCGATCAACGCGCACGCTCCAATGGTCGGGACGACCGGACGCGTCCGGTCAGGACGACAGCAGCGTTCGGTAAGTAGCAGAAAGGTGGGTTTCGTCCCCAACGACTACTTTCTCTATGTGGCTTATAAATAGACCCCCAACCGGCCATTTGAGAAGAGTGGAGCTGAGAAAACATTCCAAGGGTGTTAATACACCATTTTAGTAATCTCTACTTGCATAGTGCTTAGTGGTTCATTAGGTGATTAGCGTAGGTGTTTTGCGAAGTGCTTAGGTTGATTAGACCACCGCTTATGCACTTGCTCTAGGTTTAGGCCTAGTGTTTAGTGAGGTTTGCATACCTCTTACCACTCGGTGCTTGCGCGCACCATTGTTGTACATCGGAGGGGCTTGTAGTCTTGCGAGATCACACCAACCGTGTTTGTGGTGTGGCCGCTACCGTGTACCGAAGGGAACAAGGCCCGTGGCGGTTTGGCTTGAAGCTTGATAGTGAGGACGGCGGGGAGTGGTCCGGGAGAGGCTTGCCGGAAGGCACACCGGAGACCCACTTGCACGTGGGGAAGGCCCGGGGCTATCCACGGAGTTACCCGACCAGGAGCTTGACCCTTGTGAGGGATTCCTTACGAGGGGCTCCAACGAGGACTAGGGGGAAGCTTGCGCGCTTCTTGATACCTCGGTAAAAATACCGGAGTCATCAATAGGAGTTTGCATATATCTACATTACTCTTTAGCTTCCGCATTTACATTGTTTGCATAACTCCTTTTGCGGTAGAGATAGCAACACAGTAGCAAAACTGTAGTTGCATATTTAGATAGTTTATCTTTTGCATATGTTTTGCTAAGAATAGAAAAAGAGGCCATAGTTTAAATTTAGACTTTTAAGTTGCCTAATTCATCCCCCCTCTTAGGCGTCACGGTCCCCTTTTAGAGGTATTGTATGGCCACTCACCTGACACTTTTGTATCACCAATGAGATTCAGTCCCATGCCCCTGATTTGGAACAGTGGTTGTTGGAAAGAAACCTGCTCCAGGATGTCATTTGGTATAATTTGCACCGAGCTCAACACAGAATGAAACACTTTGCTGATTTGCATCGCTCTAAAAAAGAATTTGCTGTGGATGAAATGGTATACCTGAAACTGCAGCCTTACATTGAAACCTCGGTGGCACCAAGAAGTAATCAGAAACTCAGCTTTCGTTATTATGGGCCCTTCAAGGTGTTGGCCAGAGTGGGTACTGTTGCTTATCACCTGCAGTTACCAGCTGAGTGCAAGATTCATCCTATGGTACATGTCTCACATCTCAAATGCCACATTCCAGCTTCAGTGCCGGTTCAAGATGATATTTCTGACATTCCAGATGACCCATTGAGTTCACCCCAGCCAGTTCATTTTCTGGAAGCACGAATGGTGCACAAAGGTGCTACTGTGTTGTCCCAGATCAAGGTTCAGTGGTCAGGCCTGCCGGAATCACTAACTACCTGGGAAGAGGCTTCCAATTTGCGTCGGCGTTTTCCATCCTTTGCAGCTTGGGGGCAAGCTGCATTTTGAGGAGGGGGCAATGTCAGGATAAGCAAGAAGGCGGCAAGGAAGGGCAGAGTCACTGTTGGGCGTCCGACAACTGGCGTCATGGCTGGGAAGTTTGATGAAAGTGTGGGGTGATTCGATCCTGCTGAGCGCTGTGATTCTATTAGCGCCGTTACTACTTGTGAATCGGTTACTTGGCTTGGCGTCTTGACGGCGTGGCCGTGCGGGCATATATAATGCCTTGTAATGGATGGAGTCGTATCGAACAACTGAAACAGAACTTCTCTAAATAGAATCCTTCCTCCTGACATTTCTGTTCTTGTTGTTCTATCCCTGGTTCCCTGCTCTCCCAAATCCCTAACTCCAATTCTAGTTATCCTGTCCAAATTCGCGAGCGCATTCATGACAATTGGTATCAAAGCCGTTGATCCATCGGTTGTGTCACCTTGATCACATTCGTAATCCCCATTGGCAGGATTCATCGTCTCCACTTCAGTGTTGATTCGGTGTCTCCATAGGTCCGAGCCGAGGTTGATGGGTCGGTGAGCAATTCGGGATCACTGCGGGAATCGGTTGATTACTCGCAAGCCTGGCACCGAAGAGAGGACCATCCGAGTTCTAGAAGGATATGGCGAAGTCATTGGAGGAGATTTCGACTCAGCTTGGGTTGATGATGAAGCAGTTCATGGGTTTCCAGACGATGATGCAGAGTACCATGGACTCGGTGGA